ACACCTCAGAGAACCGGTGTAGAAAGGAGCAGATCAGATGGCACATGCGCAACAGGTGTTGGTGTCCCTCCAGAATGATTCTCAGAAATTAGGTTAGAATCAAGAGAACATTCAACACGCAAATTTCGAGAATCAGGCGAAAGCACCTGAAGAAATATGAATAGCTCGCGAACGAGCTACAATAGAACCCTGGTAACCTTTCCTTTGCAATTCTGCTGTAAACTGCACGAAAAGTCGTGCACTAACTTTTGGGCAGATCATGCGTTTTCTATTTCCAACTTTGACTATTTTTCTGTTGGCAGAAACTTGCTCTCGTCGTAGTGCAACAGAATTGTGGAAGATATGTGTATGCATTTACATATAGCAGAATAGTGCAAGAAATGCGGCAGATGCTTGCGCAAATCGCAGTGCAACATAATTGCGCTAGATTTGTAGCAGCGCCTACTGCTACCCATACAGCACAAAATATTTTTAAAATATTTTTTAGAAAGATTAAAATAATTTACAAAAATATTTTTTATATTTATAGCACCACAGTGGTGTTGGGTAAGCCTTGCGTTGTATTGCTGGCGAAGATTGTCGCGAATGTCATGATTTTGCTTCGCGCTTCGCCGGAGGCCTGCTTATATTAGATCCCAACTGAAATTTACTTGCGAGTTAGTTTTACCATTACGCGCCGCCTAGTGGCATCGTTGCAAACTAGCACATACAGCAGAATTCAACAAGAATTACGGCAGATGCTTGCGTAAAGAAGTAGAGCAGCAGAAATACAAATGATTTTGGCAGAAATAAACAAAACAAGGCAAATGAGAGCTCGTTCGTGACGATGGACGGGCGACAGTAATAAAATATTACAAATTGAATAAAATATATTGTATATAATAAAGTAAACGTTTTGGTCCTTGGTTTGGACCCTCCTCAGTACATATAGCTGGTCGAGTGAAATGCAGTGGTCACAAGTAGTCAAAAATGCAGTTATTCCGCTCTCCGATTATGAGAGTGTGGATCTCGTATGCTCAACGTGACTGTTACCTTAATTCCATAAAAAGAAATAAATTAAACAAATATATATAGTCATACCTTAAAAAGTGATCACAAGAGTTACCTGACAGTCAAATTGATAAGATATACGACACCATCTCTCCGCGTAATACAATAAATATTACGCGGCATTTTTGACTACTTGTGACCACTGCATTTCACTCGACCAGCTATATGTACTGAGAAGGGTCCAAATCAAGGACCGAAACGTTTACTTTATTATATATATTTTATTCAATTTGTAATATTTTATTACTGTCGCCCGTCCATCGTCGCGAACGAGCTCTCATTTGCCTTGTTTTTTTTTTATTTATCGTTATTGAGAGCGTTATCTTTGTTATTTTGGCAGAATATACCGTACATCTGATTTATCAATCAAACATTTTTCGAAATTCGTAACGCCAAAATGGACCGTATGGCCTACATCTCACAGCACGAAGCTATAACAGTTTCACAATCTCCACTTAACTTACCAGTAATTATTTCTATAAATATTTATAACATAAATTAAAAACAACTTTAATAATATTGATGATAATTATTTACACTTTATTTTAAAATATTTATTATAATTTTTTAGATACTTTCATTTTCCGGACATTATAATATTTACAAAATATTCAACGTATATATTTTCAAAATATTTAAATCTTTTTTATAAATATTTTATAAATATTTTATAAATATTTTATAAATATTTTGTGCTGTTTGGGAGTTTAGCGCGCTCGACTGTTCTTTTTCTGACGGGCAGATGCTGGCACGCTTTTTTCGCATTTCTGTCACTCGGATCTATACGGCAAAAACAACAATTTAAGCGACATTATACACTTGTGAAATTTTGCTGCAAATATGTTTCAAGAGTCTAGCACACTCGACTGCTCTTTTTCTCACGGGCAGATGCTTGCAC